CAAACCTTTGGGGTTTATTGTTTGGGGGGGGCTTTACTGATTGGAAGGGGAATTTGGTGTTATGATCATGATGACAGGAGAACTTTGTTAAGGAACCGTGTGGAATAGTATTACTCTTGTGTTTGGTGCCTCCGGTTAGAGTTCAACGAGCTTTTGGCGTGTCCCAGTGACCCAAACCTTGAGCATCTTGGAAGTCTTAAGGCAGGGGATTGCTGAAGAAAATTGAGTAGACGTGTCTCGGTGGAAACAAAGCTGCAGTGGTTCAGACCGTGACTCAGAACAGCCCCGATTTCAAGCTTAGTACGCCTATACATAAAAGCCTCTGAATCAAACTTTAGCCCGCAAAGCGTGAGTTCTCAAGCTCCGGACTCCAGTAGCGGCCCGGAGCCTAGAGGTCCACGTCTTTGGGCTAGAATTTCAGGACTCTTAGGAAAAGTGCAACTCATGAAGTCGATCTTTTTCCTTCGGTTCGTAACTTACTGCACTTAGGATTTGCATAGGCTGTGGTGAAGCCCTTTTTCTCAGGCAAGAAAGCTTCAAAGAAGGCTTCCAAATCTGAGGCGAAGAGTGCCAGCGAGGAACTCTGAGCTCAGGGCCGAGAGCCGAAGGGTTTAGAGCAGATTGCGTGATGCTGAGGGTTATAGTTATAGTGGTTCATAATTAGTAAGCCTGAGTAGGATCATGATGATACTGGCGTCCAGTTGTTGATCTCGGAGCTCGAAGCTCAGTTCGAGGCTCAGAGGTTCCTGCACAGCCCCGTCCAAAGACTCAAGCAGTACCCTGTGCCATGAGCAGAAAAAAGACTGATTCAGCTTCTTGTTTTCTTGTTGCAGGCAGGGTTAAGGGCCTAGGCTAGGCTAAAGGCTGTAATTAAGTTAATACTGTAGGTCCTAGTGTCGTGTTTGTAGGGCTTGCAGCCAGGCTTGAATTTGGGGTCTCGATGAACTTCCGGGTTCAAAAATAAGTGTCATTCCAAGCAGGATGCCCTGGAAGCCCAAAAAATATATACGGGGTTTTCCAGCCAGCTGAAAGGTGCAGCCTTCTCCAAGCTCCGTCCCTTCAATGCCAAAACTCCCCACGGCTTGACAAACCTTTGATTGTAAGCGCGAGCTTACGGCCGCCTCGGCAGCCGGGCTGGCAGAACGGCGTAGGTAGGGAGAGGAGGAGAAGACTGGATCCTGGTTTAGCTTGTTATCGGAAAGACCGAAGCGAGTTTGCTGTCGCGAGACAGCTACTGTAGGGGGTGAGTTTACGACCGGCAATGGCCTGCAGCCCTTTGGCTCAGGGCCCTCGGATACTTGATTAACGTACGCTTTGAGGAATTGTTACTCGTGTCTTTCATCCCGGATGTGGCTTGCTTCCGTGCTCTTCCTGGCTTCTGCGATTTGGAGAGGCCGCGGGGCACGAGTAGATTCTCGTGAGGATGCACATAGTGACCACAAGGAAGCGGTGACCTATCGAGAGGCGCCGGAGCTGCTCAAATACCGCACCTTCAATGAAACTGGCATGCGCCTTCTCATCTCGGGTGCAGACCTGCCCCTCGTCGCTTCATCGAGCCTTGTAGAGGAGGACTCCAAGGCAAAACTGCTTGAAAAGTTGCCGAAGGAGTGGAGATCAAAGCTGGAGATCGTGAAGCAGCTGGGCCGGGGAGCCTTCGGGAAGGTCTTCTTGTGCAACCGGATTGTTGTTTCGAGTATTCCCATTGTCGATTATATGCTTAGTTTGTGTATAATCACTACTCCCTAAACCCGAATCTCGGACGTTGAATGCCATGCCTGCTTTGCGAGTGTGTGAGTCGAAACCCGAAACCTTACACACTACTGCTACACTACCTTGAGTTAGCATCCTAAACCCTAAATCTCAAGTAACCAAGGCAAGGTTCTGTGCGAGTCAGACTCCGACGTGTATGTCTCTGTGAAGCTCATTCAGACTGAGGTCCCCTTCAGTCCCATGAAGCTGTGCCCTGCTGCTTTAGGGGTTCGGGCTTTGCTCGCAGGCTTCAGACGGATTGTAGTACCATTACTACCAGCCTAAGGAATCTAGGGGCTTACCTGGAGGATCTCTTGATTTGGTAAGTCTGCTTAGTCACTGCGGGTACTGGGCTTCTTAACATGGCATATTTGGGATTGTAGGTAGAGATATTATGTCGAATGATCGTCCAAGTACAGCAGTCCAATTAAGTAGTTCTAGGGTTCACTGTTGAAGAGGCTTTATCGACTGTTCATTGCTTTATTGCTTGCCACCCACCCGGAAGATGGTTCTAAAGTTCTAAGCTTCTCGTCCTCATCTCCCCATAAACACCCACGAAACATTTCATGTGACATATGCCATATGCTTCTCCACTTGACTTTCCATCTTGGCCCCAAACCCTACTGTAAGCCATAAGGTGGATCAAGAGGGAGGTTCAACTCCTGGAGACAATGCAGGACTACTCCGACTTTTGCATTTCGACAATTGGCTCGCCATCCTCCGTCGACAACAAAGATGGCACCTGGATTATGATGCCTTTCATGAACCTGGGATATTCCTGGTGGTATGTTTGTTGGTTTATTTTGGACCCGAATCCGCTTACAATCCCTGTACTGTACAAACTACTAAGCCCTATACAGTCAAACAAATTGAATGTTTATAGGCTCCTAAGGTCTATCCCAGGAATGGAGGAGAGTTGCGAGATCTTGTCCGTCGCTGTCGGAACACCGAGGGTTGCAGAAATTTTAACAACCGGTTTCTTACTGGCGGCTGGTAGGAAATAAACTCGTAGACAAAGTTTAGGCAAAAAGGGTTTGTGGGGAGTGAAGGAATATGTACTACACAGTATCTGGGTTATGTAGGCATTCTATTTCCTGTATTTCCTCCCAACCACCAGTAAGGTTAGATTGGACGAAAGTCAACCCCCAGTGGAACACTGCATACATTTTGGTGCTTTTTCACGACATTGTAGCCGGAGTGGAGGCGCTGCATGAGCAGTCGGGGATGCTCCATGCAGACCTTAAGCTGGAGAACGTGATGTTGAACTGTCGAGGTGACAAGTGCTACGCGGCTGTCATTGACCTAGGAATTGCCTGCAACCCACAGCTCTGGATGCTTCGGAAGCTCCCGCTTCCGATGCCCGGGGTTTGTGGAAGGTCCGGCACCCCGAGGTACCTGCCTCCTGAGGTGGGAATTTCCGGAAATTGCGGTGCTACCTTTTTTTTTGGGGGGGTCCCAATAATCAAAAACTAGAGCATCTTGGGGACTCTCTTGGGATTCCTCTTTCTTGTGGAAACGCCCAGGTCTACAAAGGCAGTGCATGGGCCATGTCAAGCCCAGCGCGAGATGTGTGGGCGCTGGGAATCATCCTCTACTTCCTCATGTACGGAGGTGTACCCCCATTCTTCCATGGGAATCCGGCGGAGGTGATTCTTGAGTATCTTACTGGTGGTTAGTAGGGCATAAGGGGATTTCATCCCTGAGTACTCCCTTTATCATCCCAATAAAACCTCTACATAGTCCCAACGTAATAGTCCCCATGAAGTCCCTATATAAACCCAGCATGATCCCTGCATAATCCGTTTGTTATATATATATATATATGTATGTCTGTATGTATGTATGTATGTATGTATGTATGTTCCCTTCTCATTCTCCCCTACCAACCACCAGTAAGGTATGATGTTCGGGCAGACCCCAACATCCCTGGCACGAAGGAGGTTGACGAGCTTGTCCGCGACCGGGGTAGGTTTGAAACAAGTTTTTAGTATGTCGGCTCTAGGGTTCAAACCATTTTTTTTTGGTTTTGTTGCCCTGTATCCTTATCATACAAGGGAGTTCTATAAATGAGGGTCCCGCTTTATCCGCAAAATATTTGGTGCCGGAATACAACTCGTAACCAAAAGGGGCTCATAATGAATCCTGCATATCAAAGCCATAGCAACTTGACATGTTTTTAGGGCTGCTAGACCCGCCCAGGTGAGATGTTGACCTCAGACTACACCAAGCGCCCCTCCCTCGCAGAAATTCGGATGAAGCTTGAGGATCTTATCGAGCTTGAGGATTCTCCGGAGGCCATTTCCCCCCAAACCTGAGCTCCGCAGCCCTAAGCCCCAAGCCTTACACGCGTGCTTGCTATGTAGGGGGGAAAAAGGCCCTAAACCGCGAGGCCATGACGATGCTCCGCCAAAGCCCTGCAGAACGTGGGGCCGCGGTGGCAACGCCCGAGTGCCTGCAGACCCCTGATGGAGGAAATTGACACAGGGCCCAGTTGTGGGGAGAGAGATTCTGTTGGGACAAAATGGGGTCTAGGGGTAATTAATAGAAAAGACAATGGAATCAATTGTGCCATATTATGCAGGGCTGACCAGAATTAACTGTCCCTAAAGCCTCAACGGAAAAACCCTGGTTTACTTGCCTTTCAGAACTCTTGGGACCTGATGGCGATTGTGTTCGCAAAAAAAGCGAAGCTGTGGCTCTGGGACCCATCCCTTTCGAAGGATTTGTCTAAGAACACACGGGTTTAGGGTTTTCTTGGATGGGGCCTGGTGTTGCTGATGGGTTAGAACTTACCTATCATGGGATGGTCATAGTGGGCTTGCTATAGAGGGGATGACATCATGTACTTCCTAATTCCCAGGGCCCCTGAAAGTAGCAAAGAAACCAGACCTACCAAATCCAGATTACTGGTGCTGGTGTCTTTCTAGGAGCATCCTCAAAGAAGCTGACAACGGATCTAAGCAATGATCGCTAAACCCAGAGCAGACTTCAAGCCTTCACGTCCACCCCCTGCTTCCTTGCTTCCATTATTTGCTTACTGGGGGTTAGCAGGTATTCAGGGCATGTGTATGGGGTTTAGGTTTTAGATTTAAAGGGAACCAAGGAAAGGGTCTTCGACTCCTGAGCTCTTTAACCCCTGATCCCTACTTAAAGGCCTTCCTACTGGCTGAATGTTAAACCCATGAAATCCTGAAGCAGACCCCTTCACCTCAACCCTAAACCCCAAACCCCTAAAAACCCTACGCCCTAAACCCTAAAAGCCCTACACTGCCCTACACCCTCAACGCTTAGGCTTCCTTCCTCAATCCTGCCCCCCGCCAGGTGTGCCCTGTCCGTGCATAGGGTCCCCTGTGTGCGGTTCTCAGCGGTTCAGGAGCCTCTGAAGGGCTGAAGCAACTCAGTAAGTAGGGTTACAACTGGGGCTAGAAGTAGGGTGATCCTATAATTATAGCCTTACTTTCTAGCCTGACTTGCTTAGTACCATGATGGTGAGGATTCAGGCACAATGGAGAACTGATGCTCTGTCATGCTGCCTACACGGAGGTTGGGCTTTTGGAGGTGGGAGGCGGTGTTAGCATGCCTTGCGGTTTCTGCTCGGTTAGTTGTATGTTTTGGGTGTGGCTACAACTCAGTGACTTGTTTGGGTTTTCGAGGGGGGGGGGTGTCCTTGACAGCGTCGCAAGGAAGTTTGTCCAAACCGTTGCGAGGTGAGCTTGGAGTGGAGGATGCGGGGCTCGTTTAGAGTGGTTTCATCAAAATCGTACCCGTGCTTGACGAGTTGGAAGCGAACAGCCCCTTCCAGAGTTTTGAATTTCAGGGACGTGGATTCGGAGAGTGGGGTCGACGTCGGACGCCCCTTCAGTAGCACTCCCGGAATGAGACGACTGTACTTGTTCCTATTGTTGACTGTTACTGTAAGGCTACGTGGGATGCAGAAATTCAGCCACTCTCGTCAAACACAGCTTCTAGACTCTAGAAAATGGGCTGTCGGATCGCGACAAATTTGGCTGTGGGATCCGGTAATGGTCTTTGAGAATCACGGTTTTTTTGCTACAAATCTTGCATTGTTGGCTTCTCCAGCCTGCTTTAGAGCTGGGCCATTCAATCTATTCAATCTTCTCAGACTTCCTGGCCTAGCTTGTTCTTGTCCTTTGCTACCTTCGGATCATGTATCCGCGAAAACTCCTAACTTTCACCGCGGCCTGGACGCACTCCCCGATCCATGTTGAAATTTGAAGTAGGAGTTGATAGTAGAAAGCATCGAACTCTCATAGCCTCAGCTTCAACCCGAGCTGGTATGATCCACCGGGCTCAAAGCGGTTGGCTGGCACATGTCCTTGTTGCCGCAGTTTTCTGATATTTCAGATGCAGGTTTCCGGTGTCAGACATCTTCAACAGGATGACCACGCAGCAGCATTCCAACACGTTGGTTCTTATTAAACTTGTTGTTGAATAAAGATAGGACGTCATCGCGTCCGCTCATTGTCCGGACAATGGCGGCGCGCTTGCCAGCTCAGCAGAGTTATGGCCGCTTTGCTTGATGTTAGGACCCTAAGGGTCCGAGTACCTAATAATCATATACTCTCCCAAATGGTAACCTACATAGCTACTATCC